ATATTTTGCCATCCAAGCAGCCAGGCGAGCAAGTCCCAAACGGCAGTTAAGCCAGCCGAGCGAGTGTCAAACGGCGGTTAAGTTGGCGTAAGAAGAAGGGCTTAATTGCCTTGATCGCAGAGTTTAAGGGTTTATATGCATCAATTAAAGTTTAAGGGCTTAATAGCGATTCTAGGATTAGTTCAGGGGCTTAACTTATGGTTTTGCCTTTATGATTCCCTCATAAAAAAAAATCCATATTTAAATGTTGAAGAGTTTAAAATTTCATATTATAAATTTAAAATTGAAAATTTAAAATGAGGGATTTTCTTTGGTGTATAATTTATATATATATATATATCTGATTATAAATTATATAAAAAAAATATTTTTGTATTTTTAAATTTTTTTTATTTCATTCAAAACTCAAATTTAAAATTATCAATTTTAAATTTTAAATTTTAAATTATGAAACCACCGATATGCTTGATGTATAGTTCATTATACAACGAAGAAGCTTCAATTTTCAATTTAATAGCGATGGATTCAGTGCAGGGGAGTGAGATAAACCATGGCGGAAATTTCTGTCATAAAAAGATGAGAATTCAGAAGAAAAGGCATTTGGATTGCGCGTTGCTCGCAGTAGTTAGCGAGATACAAACGGCTGTTGCAGCGATCACTACTATAACGACTCGAAGATCGAACCCGCTTTGGATATCCTTCCGATCACCTTTGTTCCTCGATGTAATTTATGGAGTCATTTTCATTGTTTTTGTATATCTTCCCCAATGCTTTCTCGTTGGGATTGGAAAACCGGTTCTCTTCTGCTTGGCATCGGAGAGCGGGAGGACGCAGCTGCCACGAGCAAGCAAATTGAATTACGATCCCAAGCCTTACCGGTAAGTTTGATCTAAAGCTCTGTGCGTAATGTAACCGCCGGTTTTCTTTCTGATCGTGAAATTTCCTTTGTTTTAGCAGCCGAATGTGTGCAAATTTTCTATCATGGTTGTGGAAAAACAAATTTTCTCTCCAAATTAGTTTTTTTTTTTCGCCTAATAAATTAGTTTAAGATAGTCAGTGAGGGTGTTTAGCAATATTTAAAAAGCACTTTACTTAAATTTTTTCCTCACAAATTTAAAATTTTGTTAAAGTGAATTTAAAATTTGACTTTTAAAGAAAAAATTTAAAACAGATTTTGATAAAGTTTAAATATATAATATGTGATTTTTAAAAATTTTGTTTAAAAATTACTTTAAAAGTTAATTTTTGAGTTTTTATTCAACAAATTTTTAAATTTATGGGAATTTTTTTTATAGAGTTGCCTTTTTAAGCTTTGGGGAAGGATCTGTGGAGTGGTGTGGTGCCAACGGGTACCGATGACGATGAGCAACCTTTGTATTTTTTTTGGTAGAAACGAGCAACCTTTGTATGCGGCAACGGAATTCTGCGTTTCGGCTGCTTGTGAAGGTTGTTGTGGTGGAACGAAGCACGACTGCGGAGATTGAGTGAGGTTTATAGCAGATCGGCAATTTGATAACGGACTTATATGTTTTTGGCAAATATGGTGCGAGAGTGGTTTGGGGAAGCATTATTGTTTTGGGGTTCTCTGTTTCATTGTGGAAAGTTGGGATGGTTGTTGGTTTTTTGGGAGGATTGATAGGTATCTTACGTGTAGGGCTCCATGGAGATAGATTTAATGTGGGAGGGTCTCGAGAATCCAATGCTTCTGTGGAGGTGGAGTCTAAAAATTGTAAGAATTGTCATGGATTTTGCAAAAGATCACTATGTTATTGGGATTTTGCAATATATGGAGAGTTCGAAATATAAGAGGTGTTTTTGTTGCTATTTAAGGTGGCAAAATAATGAAGTTTGATTTAGGGTATTTATTTAATGTTTTTTTTGGAATGGAGTTTGTTACAGCAATTTGGACGCTCGTTAGAATGGATTCTTGTTATGTTAAGCTACTATATTGTTGGTGTCTCATATACAAAAATAATTGACTTTTCATTACTCTGTTTAGTTATTTTATTCTAATATTCTATTATTTGAGTTGAGTAAAAGTGTAAATAAAAATTTTAACTTTGTATTTTTTTTTTTATTTAAGGATATTAATTTTGTTATTTTCTAAATAAAGATATTAATTTTTAATTTTTTTCTATTTAAAGATGTCAACTTTCAATTTTTTCTATTTAAAGATATCAACTTTCAACTTTTTCTATTTAATGATTAATTAGTAGTAATGCTTACATCAGCTAACATATTTTTTTATGTTAAATACCTAAATTGGTTCCCCAACTTTTATTTTTTAACCAATTTATCCTTGAACTTTAGAAAGTATCGAAAAAATCCTTCAACTTCAATTTTCAATTAATAAAATTATTTCTTAATTCATGGAAGAATTAATTAACTTTTATTTAATTTTATTAAATGGTAGGTGGGGCTAATTAAATGGGAAAATATATTAATTGTTTTAATTTTTAAATATAAATAAAGTAAAATTAAGAATTAAAGTATTTTTTAAATTATTTAAAATTAAAAAAATCCACATAATCAGTTTTTACATGATGGATTTTCCATCTAATATTGAAAAAGTAAAATAGTCAATTACTTAGCTCAAAAATTAGCTACATAAACATTTAACTGACGGAAAGACGGAATTGAAGATTGAAGTTGAAGGATGTTTTTGGTACTTTTTGAAGTTTAAGGATGAATTGGTTCAAAAATAAAAGTTGAGGGACCAATTTAGATATTTAACCTAAAAAATGTTAGCTTACAGTTAGCATCACAACTAATTAATCCTTAAATAGAAAAAGTTGAAAGTTCACGTCTTTAAATAGAAAAAGTTAAAAGTTGACATTCTTAAATAAAAAAAAATTAAAAATTGACATCTTTATTTAAAAAATAACAAAGTGGACATATTTAAATAGAAAAAAATGCAAAGTTAGAATCTTTATTTGTACATTTACTCTATTTGAGCTACTTGAGACTTTAAAAAATTTATATATTATAACATATAAAATTTATAAACAATTAAAGTGCCTTTCTTTTGAGAGTAGAATTATAATGTAATGGATTTACCTTTTATAAATACAATATCAATTATATATATAAATATATATATATATATTAAAAAAAAGGCTTTGTCTGACACCCTCAGTCTTCGCGTGTTATTCATCCTCGTGCAAATCCAACCCCAACCCAGAGGCAAGGGCCCGAATGGAATTATGGAAGTATGAATGGAAATGCAGACGAAAGTGTGAACCCTTGAAATCTGTGGAGTACGAGATTTTGGAGGGAAATAAAGTGAGACCTCCTGGAAGTTTATATGAAACGCAAACGAAACCGTGTTGATACAGTCCTCATTTGGGCAATAATATCAATTGGATCGTTTCCTTTCATTAGCAAAAGTGAAAAATAGTTTATTAGAAGTCAAAAGTTAGTTTGAAACTTCACTGCCACATTACCATGGAGGAAGACTTCATTTCGTACTTTCAAAAAACCTGTTTACCTCTCTTTCCTAGACGTTTTCTTGGTAAGGATTAACTTCTGCTAATGTGGGTATGTTTGGTTTAACTTGTTAAAACTTTTATTTTTTGAGTATTATTATGAATGATAAGTTTAAAATTTTATTGAATGAAAAATTTAAAAGTTATTTTTAGAAATAGAAAAAAAAAAAAAGTAAAATGTGAGTAAAAAAAAAGTAAAAAAAAAGTTTATGAAAAGTTTAGATTTGAAATTTTTAAATTTTTACTGTTTGACATCTTTTTAAAGTTAAAAAAAAGTTTAAAAATGTAAATTTTTAAGAGAAAAATTTAAACATATGAAACATGAATAGTATCAAAAAGTAGAAACAATAAGAAGTTAACCCAAACATACTCTAAGATAATTACTTATATTGTTCAAAAATTTTATGTATAATTTATATTTTATTAAATTAACTTTTGAATTTAAAGTTCTATTTATATAGTTTATATATATATATATATATAATTTCAATGTGATTCAATATCTATAACTATAGGAATGAATAGATCATATTTTTTATTGTTTATATAATAGTTTAAAACCAAGTGTAATTATGATTTGTTAAATATATTCAATTAATTAAAAAAAGAGTGTAAAGTATGCCATCTTCTTAAATTTTTTTAGAGGGTCTTGTTATACCAATGATTTTGATGATTACAAAACACATTTGAGTGACTAATTGATTTATTTAAGTGTGTGGTTAAATTGTCAATATACTGCAAAGTAAGCAAAATGAGATTGCATTAAAAAGGGCTTAAAGGGTAAAAATATGCAGAGAGCCGGCTCAAGAAAATTGCAGTTGGCTTTGGGAAGCAAAAATGCAGAGAGCAGGCTCTACAGGCCAAAAATTCAATTGCTATTTTGGTGCGCGTGGAAAATGGAAGCAGAGCCGGCTCCCACTTTGTAGCCGGCTATGAGGGCGCATTTAATGCACAACGGTCGATTTATTTGAAGAATATTTAATGTATTTAAAGTCGGAGTTCCAAAATTGGCTCAAAGTTTTGCAGCTGGCTCTCGAGAAAAACAGAATGGGTTGCAAACCCGGATAGCCGGCTCTGGAAGTGCTTTACAAAGCCGGCTCTAGAAGCTTAAGCCGGCTGTACTGACAGTTCTGCAACTCGAGACATGCGTCCTGTAAAGCATTTAATGACCCCCAATGGTTAGAAACGGTTATTTTTGAGCAAGGGGCTATAAATATGGTTGGTAACAGATATGAACAAGTTCTGAGAGCATTATATTGAATATCTTTACCTACCAACTTGTGCTTTAACTAGAGATTTTGATCTTTGAGAGATCTTTGTTTGTAATCCTCTTCTTGTGCTATTAGTGAATGATCTTGGGGGAGTGTTGATTCCTTCAAGAGTGATCTGTAGAGAGGATCTTTCGAGTTTAAGTGTAAAGGGGTGAGATTTGAGAGAAACACCTTTCTTCTTATAAAGGATTGAGTGGCTCCTTTAAACCATCATTGTCTTTATTAGTGGAGAGTATGGAGGAAATCCTTGGTGAGTGAAGCTAAGGTAAAGGACTAGGCTCCAAGTGGTTGGATTGAACCTCTATAAAATCATTGTGCAAGCTCTTCTTCTCCACTCTCTCTTTAATTTTTGTTTGGTGGTTGCAAAGAGATGAAAATTCTCCAACTCCAATTCACCCCCCCTCTTGGAGTGCATTGAGTCAAAAAGTCTGTCTGAAAATCCATCTTTTAATTAAAATTTTTAACAATTAATTATTAAATTAAAATTTTATTCATTTAAATAATGTATATTAATTTTTGTATTGATTTAATACTTATAATCCTTTAATATTTGATCAAAATAACTCTATTTACTAACATATATTTAATAATGTTAATTTTTGGTAGTTAACGAAATAGTTAGATTTATTAGATCAATATAAAAATTTACATGCATGATATTTATAAATAGAACTTTCAATTAAACGGTTGATTTTTAAAAATCTGATTTAGAAAATAATTTTTAGATGTATCCTCTCAAACAAATTTAGGAGGAAGAAATGCAAAAAATAAACATAAAAAACACTTTTCCCAATTTAAAATTTTACTTGTATGATCTACAATAAAAAATAGTTAGTTTTTCAAATTCAATGGTTAAAATACAAGCTCAATAAAAAATAATAATAACTGATGAAAATTAAGATGTAGTAATAGGGGTGTTTGTGGTGTGGTTTGATTCGAATTTTAATATTTTTTTAAATCAATTCAATTTAATTAATTAGTAAAATTTTCAAATCAATTCAATTCACTATTATATTTTAACCAAACCAATCCACCTTAAATTGGATTGGTGTAGTTTAGTCAACTGGATCAATTTTTAATACTATTAAATATATAATATAATGTAAAAAATTTTAATATTAAGCAAAAAATATAATTATAAAATACATTAATATCCAAATCAATAGAAACATAATAAAATGTATAAATTATAAATAAGTTCTTATATTCATTTACAATTGTAAAAATTGAAAAAATTTAAAAATTTTTCTTGACTACATCACTAGAGACATCAAGAATAATAAAAAGATAATTTTAAATTTTAAATATAGTATAGATAATTTCTAAATGTTAAAACTAGTATTTTCCCTCAATATACCAAATGATTTAATCTTATCTTCCAAAGCTAGTTAAAAGTGAATAAAATTTAATATGAATATCATGAGGAATGATTAGAAGCATTCAAAATTAATATTTAAAACTCCTCAACCAAATATCCAAAAATAGTATAATATCAAAATTAGTTCTATTATGTAATTTAAAGATTTTTAGCAATATATTTTTTTAAAGTTTAGATAACAGAATTAGAATATTATTTTAAAAACAAATTAGGAATTTAGGGTTTTAAGATTAGAGTTGTAAACCAATTTTAAGGGTTGCAGGCAAATTTAAAATTTAGAATTAAGACTAAAGTGTATGGATTAGAAAGAAATATGAGGATGTTTTATTTTTATTTTTTAATTAAGCTAATGAAATTATTATCTTGTAAAATTAAAAAATTTAAAATATTGCAAAAAATATAATAATTATTTAATTAAATTATCTTATAATCATGTTCTATTTTGTAATCAAGAAATTTAGATAATTTAAAAGTAAAATTACAAATCAAATCAATTATATGATTTTTAAAT